TATTTCCATCTAACCAAACGGAGCCTAAAGATTTGAGTAATAAAGTGTTCCTTTAATATTATTGTTAGAGTAATGCTATTCTTTTCGAACAATTAGTGTTGAGAATAAGTCCGAATTTGATGTGGCTGCCCTTACCTCTTCAAAAGTAAACTCTATCTCTTCACAATAAATGCTCATGTTTTCCATGTTAAGATAAAGCATTTCAAAATATACTATTGATGCCATTGGTTACAAATGATGCATGCTTTTTGACTTTGAATTTGAAATTCTCTATTAATAGGCTCTAGCCTAGATGGTATGAGCTTTCCTCCCCAAAGGGGATGTTGAGTGGTCGAGTCCCGTTGGGGACAAAAATAGTGATTGTATATATGTTTGCTTTATCATTAAAAAATAAAAATAAATAGAGTTTGAAATTCTCTCACATGCACCCTCTAATTGGAGTTAAGTACCTCTTTTTTTTTTCATGTCAAGAAACACATACCCACTCTCACTCTCACACTTTTTTTGCCCACACCATGGGGCTGGATGTCCTTTGATGGAGTTTACTTTAAAAATCAATAAAATATAATGATAACTTCAAAAAAAAAAAAGTCATTAAATTAGTTATGATTCAAGGGAAAACTTATAAATGATACAATTATAATAAAAAACTTTCAAAAACCTATGGATGAAATTATTTTAGTACTTAGGAAAATAATATTCACACATCACAAAGAATCTCACACTTCACATTTTTTTTTCTACAAAAGAAAGAAAGAAATAATAAAAAAGATATGACACAATTAATTTTTTGATATACCAATATCAACAGATCTTAGTGTGTGTGTGTAGTTAGGTAAATACTCACATACACCCACAAGTGCCCACTATGGGGTTCGAATTCCTCACCTCCCCTTTGAGGGAGGAGAGGTTATACCAGTAATGGTAGTGGTGAGATAAATTTAAACTTGATGTTCAAAAAGTATGCATTATTTTTCTAAGCAATGACACCAATATAGTAACCAATGGCACCAATGGCAACTTTTGAGAAACTTTGAAAGCTTTGTTTTAAGATGATATACATGTATAGAATTGAGGGGAGTATACCCATTAGTCTACTTTTTTGCACCATTTTTTTTGAAACGATATCATTATTCTTAGGGTCCGTTTGGCATGGAACGTGCTTTAGATGTTATGTTTTTGGTCAATATCAAAATAATTGTTTTGTTATAGGAGTGTTTTGGATAGAAATCAGAACTATGCTTGGTAATGAAAATTTGTTTTGGGAAATTCGAAAATTTATTTTAGTTCCTCCGCTATATCAAAACACACAATATCTCACCAATTTGGTGATATGGGTTTGGGCCAAAGAATCTGATATTTTATGAACTATTCCAAACTAATATCAACCGTCCCAAACATGATACGGGCTCGAATTTAGATACCAATATCAGAAAAATAATATCATAACATATGCCAAATGGGCCTTTATTGTTAAGAGTGAATTTACATTTTTCATTGATTATGCTGAAAATAAGCATGTAACTGGAACTAAAATCTTTGAAAAGTTTGGGCTGTTAAATTATGTCAATTTGTACAATTTTTCATACATTCCAAAATCCTGTAAGCTTACATATGGTTAACCACATGTTGCTATGTGTTTTATTCAGTCCCTTGTTTGATATTTTGTTTTCCATATTTATTTATTATTTTTTCAGGGTGGTATTAAAAAATATGGTTCCTCTTGGCTACTTTTGATTTTTGAGTGGTGTTTTTTTGTTAAAGGAAACAATAAGTCCAAAATTTTGCTAAAAAAAGAAAAGGATTGATGGACTATGATCATGGAATATGTGCATTTGGTTTCCACCTCCTATATATTTATTACATTTTTGGGGTGGTATTCGAAACTTGGTTCCTCTTTTAGGCTGTGTTTAGTAACGAGAAATGTTTCTTGTTTTCTGTTGTCAACTTTTAAAAAAGCAAAATGAAAATAAAAATCGCGTTCAATAAAATATTTTTGTTTTTCTATAGCAGAAAACGTTTTCAATTTTTATGAAGAGAAGAGAAAACATCAAAATGATGTTTCTTATATTTTCGGCACTGCAGCGCAGAAACGTTTTCACCAATGTTACTGCACAGGCACTATTCATTTCAAATAAAATTCATATTATTTATGTTATATACTACTAAGTTGCATATTAAATGTTAATAAAAATATATATATTTTTAATATAGAATAAATTAAATATTGTATATTATTTTTTATTTGATAAAAATATATTTTAATATCTAATGTATTAAATAATAATGTAAATTATTTTTTGTGACAAAATAATTTTTGATATATAATATAATGTTATTAAATTATTAAGCAGTAGATATTTTGTATTATTATATATCATATCTATATTATATTTTTTTCTTAGTTGGTACTCACACACACATGCCTCCACTGAGGCTCGAACCCCTGACCTCTCTTCGAGAAGTAAGGGCTTGGTACCGTTAAGCCACTGGCCTGTTGGTTATGCTAAATATATTATATATCACATAATAAATGTATACATCATGCGTATACATGTTTTTATATACATAATTGGTGGGAATGTTTTTGTCTTGGTATATCTAATTTTGTACTCATTATGTATTGGGTATTTTTAAGGCTAATAATTTTAAATTAGATTTTCTAGATTTATGTCTTTTTGATATTAATGGAAGCAAGTGTCGTGCCTGAGTGGTTGGGTTGCTCCCTGTATCCGAGAGTTAGTGTTCAAGTCATTTACCCTCCCCTTTAATCACTTACTCCTAAAATTCTTGCCATGAAAAAAATAAAATAGAAATGAAAAAAAAAAAAAAAAAAATTAAAAAATTAAAGAATATTATGTACATTTTGTAACAAATATATTGTATTGCTTTATGTTTTCAAATTTGTGACAACAAGTGCTAATAAACATCATTTTTGTTTTCTATTTTCACTTAAGAAAGCAAAATCATGTTTCTGCTTTCTTAAGACTGCAAAAACAGAAAACGAAAACGTTACTAAATGCACCCCTATTTTTGAATGCAATGCTTATTCACTAAATGAAGCAATGGTTAGTTTTTCCGCTTGAAATAAAATTAATAAATTGGTGATATGACCTATGATCATGGAATATTAGTAGTCGATCCTCATACAAGAAAATTGCAGTCTATAAATCTAGCATGGGTGAATCCTTTTCACTTGGAAGAATAGCTTCTCATCATATTGCAGTAGAGGCACGGGGCATATTGGATTATTGGATCGTCTATTCATTAGGTCTGCCCGTCCCAATTTTATATTTCTCCTGGTGGCCCACTGGATTAACTGCCGCCCTTAATAGAGATAAGGTAGGAGGGGAAGGGGGCAGTTAAGCAGGAAAATTGAAGGGGTCATGTATTGGTTATAGAGTTATACTACATCTGTCAAATTATGGTTCATTTTGGCATTGTTTTCAAATGCATGTTTCAGCTATTGAAAATTCCAAAAATGATGTTTAAAAATTCCTTTAAAAATATCTCATTTCCAAGAAATGCCACAATGAATGTCATTTTGTGTCATAAATGTGTTTTCATCAATTTTTAATCTTTCTTTTCTGTCCTAAAAAATGAAGATGATTTCATAGATAATATCTTTCTTTTTTTAAACGGTAGACTCCCGAGTCCTGTGAAACAGCCACCATATTCATCAGTTGTAGAGGAAAAAGTTTGTCCCACGTAATAGTCTCTCTTAGGCTCTGATCTGTGTTGTCTATCCAATCTGTTCCCCTCTTCAAATATCAAAGGCCATTACCTACCTAGTACTGGTCCTGGCTATGCAGCAGGGTGTTAAGAGAAATATATTGGAGACACTAGACAGTCGTAATCTTTGAGGTTACTTTTACACAACGATTATTCTCATACTTGAACCTGTGTCCTTAGGTGTGTCACTCAGATCTACTATATCACCAAGTAATGGTCCCTTTTTTCTTTTCTGGAACCTTTTCTTTTCCTTTTTCAACCTTTATATTTATTCTATCTTTCTGTGCCCTTCAAACAGTAAATTTGTTTGATGATGCCAACAGCAATACTTGGAGTGGATTAATGCACATAATTGTGCTTCCTATCTGTGGTACTCCATAAAATTATTTGGGCATGGTCCAGTGAATCCTTTGGCATGCTTTATGTATTTAGATTACTTAATTGCCGTTTATCCTTAAATGATAATATGCAAAATGTTGTTTAAAGAAGTAGTAGTAAAATTGGCACGACAATCATCCCCACATAGTTTAGTTGCTTTGCTACCCATAACAATAGCTAGCTGCATGTGGCAGTAGCCCCCTTTTATTGCAGTCCGGTGGATCTGTAGAGGTTAGGGGTGGTAACTTCTCTACATCTCAAAGTTGAGGCTGAGGGTTCAAGTGCCGGTAGCAGAAAATGGTTGTGTGAGTATCTTGCTAAGGAAAAAAAATTGAGGATTTGTATTATAATTGCTTCTGAAAGTAAGATAATCGGCTTGGTTTAGGGAAGCAGGTTACCTTAACATTGTTAGTGAGAGCTTTAGTCCCATGTACACTGTGAAGCAACTAGGTGGTTCATGGTAAGAAAAACGTAGAAGGTATATACTATCTCACCTGTACGGTTATCTTCGTCTGCTATTTAAACTTTTCACTTACTACCGAGATAATCAGCAAAAGCATGTTGTCAGATATTGTCGGTCACTTAAATGCCATTTGACAATTTTATCGAATTGCTCTCATCATTTGATAAATCTTCTCTACTCAGAATTACATGGTTCAGTAATTTTTTATAATATATTTTCTCAATATTTCCAGAACCAGAACACTCTTTAGAGTTTTCTATCAAGGAATTGAGCTAGCAACAAATTCAGTATGGCTGAAATTTATTATTTATTAATTTTGCTCTCGGGATCCCTCAAATGGAATTTTTATAATATATAGATCTGTTTTCACGTTTTCTGTTACTGTTGTTCAATTGTCATTAACAATTTTTTGTTTGGAAATGGGCAGGGAAGTTGCTGGAAATGGCCTGCTGGATGCTAGGGGATTCTCGATTTGCATCTTGCCAATGAAGAATATTTCCACTTCCCTTGTCTGACAGAATTCGCCCAAAGTGACTGGTATTTCCTCTCAACACTTCTTGCTCAACCACACATCCTTATTCCATCTTTAGATTGGGTCTAATGAAAAGAATATAGTTATGATTGCTGAATCCATTTTGTGGATTGGTATTGGTTTTTTCGTTTTTCGTTTTTCTATTTTGGGGTATGTGATATTGGTATGTAATTTATGCTTTCGCACCTCATGCAATCTATATATGTATATAGATAAAATAAATACATACATATATGCAACAGTTAAAATTTATAGTTGCGGTTCTTTAGGGCAGCCGAGTCAGTGAGATTGCAGCTGAAACAAAGAGTGACTTCTTGGTGGTTGTTTCATTTTAAAGTCATGTAATCCGTGATAATGCAAGTGTTATAGTTGGTGCTTGAAGGCTGCCATACCAATTGTAGACTAGATTGACTGCTTTGTTTAAATTCACCTTATACTTCGACTGTAAAATTCCTTGCTTGGAAGTAACAACCGAGCTTCCAAATTTTTGTTCTGAGCCGACAAGATCAGCTAGGAATGATTTTATTAATATATACATACATTGATGCAGATGCACTGAGATTGGAAGAAGACAAAGGACAGGAAAGCACCTCAGGTTAATGAAGGACTGAGGTTATTGTTATCTATTTTGTTTCGTTTCGGGCTTCAGCAAATCTTTCTATTACATGATAAATCGTGTCTTGGAAAATTGGAAATGGAGGAGGTTGAAAGGGGATCCTCTTGTTTGTATTTGTTCGCTTCTTTGCTCACCGGGTTGCATGACCTCCCAGGAGAGAAGAAGAAAACCACTCTTAGTATAAGTACACTGTCAAGTACATAAAATGTATTTTGATTTTTTATTTTTTGGTGGTGGTGGTGGGCATTTAAGTTGTGTGTGATCCAGGAAAACTGGGGCCGGAGTGTCTTTATGTTGTCATCTCTGCCCATTCAATAAAAACTTGGAACAGAATTTTTGTGGAATACAATAAAATGGTTCATCTGTGCTTGGAATGTAACTTTTTTTTATCATGTCAAGAATCTTGTTATGATAGTTGTAAACCCTCTTTCTCTCATGTGGGAAGCTCTTGGATGAGTCCTTAAACCTTTGTGCTTGGATTTGTTGCACTCACAAACTATATGCATATGAAGTTTTATTGATGTCACTTGTTATTTTTAGAGAACAACAGAGAAACAAATTCATAGTATATGTGTGTCAAAATTCATTTTGTTGGTGAAATGTACCAAATTTGTTATCCCATTTCCAGGTATAAATGCACGCGTATGACAAATAAGGCACACATCCATTTGCTTTCATGGGACTAAAATTCCCAACCTTTCATTTTGAAAAAATGAGAAACTACTGCTTAGTATTTGTTGGTGAGTATTTCGGTTAAGTGTTATTTTTGTAATTGAGATATTTTGGTGTCAAATTTCGTTTACTTTAGAGTCTTGAGTTCGGAAACGAAACAATAACTGCTAACTCACTCTGTGATCAACAATAATAAACAATAATAAACTTAGACATGTAAGAGTGAAAACACACTTTATTTATCAATTGATTTATGTTTTTATTGGGAGATAGGAGATTTGGAGTCCAACCAGTTAGTATTTTCTACTCCCAGTCAAAGTACAACCGATTGTACTTAATGCGGGTGGAAAACTAGCTCTCAATCAAAACAAAACCGGTTGCGTTCCGGAAAAGAACCAGTTGTGTTTGCTCAAACCAAAAAGAAAAGTTCTTTTTCTAGTCAAATTTGATTATACCTTTTTGATTAGGTTAACTTTTTTTTAAAGGGTTTTTAGGTCTCTTTAAATACCTATATATATTCTTTATGATCTCAAATCATTACAGCCTTTTGCAATCAAATTTTAAATACCCTAAGGAGGCCATTGAGTGATTTTCAGAGATTGTTTATTTTTTTACTTTGAGAGTATACAAATTACACACGAGTGATTTATGATTTGTTTCTCTTGTTGATCGAAATTAGTTCATATCGAAGATCTTTTGTTACCGGTCATTAAAGAATATTTTTCTTTCAACTTCAAAATTTCAAATTTGAAGAAAATGAGGAAGAGGCTACACTTTGAATGGCTCAAAGCATTCGAGGAGTGCTTGTTAATCTACCAACAATCTTTCTATGAGAATCAAGGGAGTGAGCCTGAAGTTGGGATCGTTTAGACGTGAAAGTCGCAAAGCCAAAGACGTTCAACAATTGATTCTTGATAGTAAATGTGTGAGTCTGAGTCTCCGAAACTTTTCTTGCTATTAGATAATTTTCTCCAATTATGATTTCTTCACTAAAAATTGAGTGTCACTATCTAAACCTTACATTTACTTTATTTGCAATTTATTTTTACTTCAAATTTATTTTGGTAAAAGTATATTGAACAAAAATTAGATAAAAGTGCAACTCACATATTATACTTTATAAAATATGATTCACATGGTTGTTTTGAAACTTGTTAGATAAGTACGGTCTTCAATTTGGTTGGAAAGGAATGGAAGTAAAGGAAAGGCTACAAATTGAAAGAATAAAATTTTGAAAGGAAAAAGAAAGGGAAAGGATTTGAAAGAATACGTCAAAGCGTGTTCATTTTGTTATTTTCTCAAAAATGATAAAAAATGGAAAGACTACAAATTTTTTTATGAAACTTTATCATACTAAATTTGTTCTTATTTTTTTGAAAACAAAATTTATGAAAAATTGTGTATTAATAATTAATAAATTCATTAAAATATATATATATTTTTTACTTTATTATATTTTTCCCTCCAAACAGGTTTACTATCTTTTCCGTTATATTTCTTAAAATCCTTAAAAAGCTAGTTCCATTTTCATAATATATACATTAGATATAAATTGAAGATAAAAATTGTACTCTACACACCCCTTTACATATTTGACAATTATTGCAATTAATCGAAAAACTATTTCGGCCACGCACACCTGAGAGTGATGGTAGTTTTACTCTGCTGGGCATGTATATAAAGGAAGGAAGGAATGAATGGGCAGAAGGGTAGGTAGTAAACGTTGCGCATCCACCCTTTTCAACCTAATAAATTTCCAACCTACTACCTCTTAACAATGTATAAACCCCTCACTTTGTCTTCTTTCTCATCTTTCAACTCGCCGGAAACCTCACATTCCGGCAATGACGCCGGTCGGAATTCTCGCCTGGCTACTCCTCCTCTTAGCCATCTACTGTGGAATCGACCCTTTCAACCACAGCGCAATCCGCCACTTCCCCGATTTCGAAGCGTACCAGGTAGACATGCCCGCGTGGTCTGAAGTTCCTGTCGAGAAAGATACTCAGAATCTGCTGCAGAAATCGGAAATTAGGTTTTTGAACCAGGTCCAAGGGCCGGAGAGCATGGCCTTCGATCCGCAGGGTCGCGGACCTTACTCCGGTGTCGCCGATGGCCGGATTTTGTTCTGGAACGGCGAGTCGTGGACCGATTTTGCGTACACATCGCCTAATCGGTGAGTTTTGAGTTATGGGTTTTGATTCATTGGTAGTTTGAACTTTGAAATGTTATGTTCTTGTTAATTCTAGCTTAGTCTTAGTGGATTGATTATGCCTATACTTCGCCCAATTGGTGAGTTTTGGTTATGGGTTTGATACATTAATTGTTTGAAATGTTACTATATTTCTTCTTGTTATTTGTGGATTTTAGCTTGACTCAGTGTACATTTAGTGTAGACACCAAATCAAACTAAATTCCTGAGTTTTAAAGTTGAAACCTTTTGAAAATATAGAACATGAGGAACTAAATGGGTGAGAAGTGGAAGTGAGAATCATCAGAATTGAGAACATTTTTATGGTGTGAATGGACTATGTTCAAGTTTTGAACCAATTGTAAATTTTATGAGATACTATTATTTTTTGGGAGTAAATTATGCTCACACCCTCTCACATTAGGCCTAATTATAAATGGTGGTCAATATGGGGCCTAATATCACTTTGTACGCAGTTAGGGGCTTGTGCTCAATGGCCCTCTCCTGTCAACCACTGTTAGAAGTTAGAACTGTTGAGTCTGTTACCTAGAAATTTACTCGAAATAAAGATAATTGCATTGTGTTTCATCCTAGTTGGATTGGGAAGGAAGCAAGAAAGAAAATCTAAGCTGGAGTTAATTAAAAAGAACAAAGTACATTCTGTATCTCAATTAGAAAAATAAATAGAAAAATCTTTGAAGTTTTCTTCTACATATATTGCTCAATTTAATACACATGCCAACATACGAAACATAAGAAAATTTCCTTCTTTGCCTCTTTCCCGCTATAGCAATTCAATATGAAAGAAATGGGAAGACAGAGACAGAACCTTTAAGGCAAAGTTTATTTGTGTAAATATTACTTTAGAGATGTATATTATTTTGTGCTAGAATATGGTCAATAAGGGGTCATTCCTCAGTGTAATTGTAGGTCGGACTGACAAGCGTGACTCATGATCAATACCATTTTCATGGTGAATCAGTAATGAGTTTCTAGATTATTGTCCCCGGCAGGATTTGTTTTTGGAAGTTCTTTATGTATCAGAGGAATTAATTTGGTCAGTAGTATTTATTGTTTGGTTAACTCCCAATTGAAAATTTTGTTTAAAATAGAATTTAATTTGAAAAATCAACCAAATTTTGGATCACTGTATGAAATTACTTTCCATTAAAAAAAAAAAGTTACGTTCCATTTATAGAGGAAGGGTCTTGAGTCTTTTTTGTTCTTGAAAGTTTCTTCTGGCAGAGTTTTAATATAGCTAATTTTTTTTTAATATTCCTTTAATCTAATTTAATTTTCCATGACTTGGAAATCAGGTCAGAACTATGTGACCCAAAACCATCGCCTTTGAGCTATTTGAAGAATGAGCACATATGTGGCAGGCCTTTGGGACTTCGATTTGACAAGAAAACAGGTGATTTATACATTGCAGATGCATATTTTGGGTTGATGAAAGTTGGGCCTGAGGGTGGACTAGCGATGTCACTGGCAACTGAGGCAGAAGGGATCCCGCTGAGGTTCACAAATGATCTGGACATTGATGATGATGGAAATATTTATTTTACTGATAGTAGCGCCAAATACCAAAGGAGGTGGGTTTTTAATGCTGTTTCGTCTTAAATGCAGATGGTACATTTCATAAAGTTGTTCTAGTTGGTACTTATGAGTGTGATTGGCTAGACCTTCAACTTTTATTACACGAAGACCCTCACCTGGAAGATGATAATAGCACATGACATTAATTAGTGACCCTATGTTTCTTTGAATGTACAAAATTTAGCATGGGGTATGCTGAAAAGCTGGAGGTATATGTTTGTGGTGTTTCTAGTGATTCTTAACTAATTTAAAGTGTCCAGCTCCAAAAAGAATATTAGAAGAAAGTAAACAGAAAAAAACTTTCAGTTGAGCTCCATTCCTTTTACTTGTATCCATTCGTAATTTTTTTAAAATATTAATCTGCAATAAGTGACTAAAAATGTTGCTATGACCGGTCAACCTTTTCCACATGATATTACTTATTATTACTGAGAGGGTGGGCCTTGGCAATGGTAAGGTTGCTCCATTGTGACTTGTAGGTCACGGGTTCAAAATTGGAAACAGCCCCTCCATTTGGAGGTAAGGCTACGTACATCTGACCCTCCCTAGACCCCACAATGGCGGGAGCCTCTTGCACTGGGCTTTATTACCCATTATTATTGGCTTTCAAACTATTTCAGGCACTAAATAATTTCAAGATTCCAAACTTCTAAACATGGTATCAGTTACGCAATATTCAACACATGATGTGACCTTTCAAGATAAGCTTTGTGTTAGAATTTCGGATAGATTCATCAAAATCACTTAATTGGCCTAGCTGGCTTCAAGTTGATACCTGCAGAGTGCTGAGAGCAGCCTTTATATCGTTAGTCCCTTAAATGGTCCTCATCTTATTATGTTATGGAGAAATTATTAGTGTTTTGTGCTGCATTTCGAAGTGTATTATTGTTAATCCTTACTTCTCACCAAGTATTTTTTTGCAGGAACTTCATGCAGTTAGTTTTCTCTGCAGAAGACAGTGGGAGGGTTCTGAAATACAATCCAAATACAAAGGAAACTACTGTCCTTGTTCGAAATCTTCAATTTCCCAACGGCGTTTCTCTAAGCAAGTGTGGTTCATTCTTTGTATTCTGCGAAGGGTCCATCGGCAGGTGAGTGTTTTCACCTTTTTAAATTTTCCTCTAAAGGTATATTATTCAACTTTTGCATTCACCATGTGAATGTATGGGCCACAAATGGTTGAAGACCAATATAACATCTACCTTAGACTAAAGCATGTACATGGATCTCGGAATTGACACGACACAACATGACATGGACATTCCGACATGACAAATCTTGTAAAAGTAGGACAAAAACATGGGGAGGAAAAAAATATGATAAAAAATAATGAACAGGGGGGCAAATTGCTCTCCGTACAAAAATTCATAAGCCCTCTCTCTCTCATCTAAACTACCAAGTTTTTCATTGAACTCATCTCTCACGTGCTAAATCTTGATATGATAAGTAGTTTAATTTAAAATTATAGCATTAGTTGAAATCTGGATACATGGTTTATGCTTCTTTATTTTTGCAGTTGCATTGGGTAAAGAAAAACTAAGACGTCTTCTTTAATAAGAAGTTCTGAAATCTTGTCTTGCTGATTTTCAAAAGATAATGTTGTCTTAACATGTGAAGTTGAACTTTTATAAGTTTCGATTTAGAAATCATTCAATGAGGATAGGAGGTCACTTTGTTTAGTATGGTTAATATAATCAATATATATATATATATATATATAAGCATTAATGTACATAATATATTTATATATATATACACTTGTTATACTTAGTAGTATATCCTCTATATGGATAAGTATGCTTATTGACTACTATGAAGTATACTTGCATATATTATTTAAGTATTAATACTTGTAAGTTTTATAATGTAATTCACAAGTTTATATATGTTTATATTTGGTGTATTAGTAGGAAGAGTAATAAAAAGCAAAGTATATTATTATTCTTATAAAGTTACAGCCTATAATAAATTGTGTATAGCATTCAAGTTTTAGAAATATATTAATAAATAGTCTATAATATATTAGTAAATTATATAGTATATTAGTATCTACTATTCTACGATATACTACATTAATATATGGTCTATATTTTATGAGTATATAGCATAAGTATATTAGAATACTTACATAATTGAACACTTATAGTATACTAGTAATGGGAAAATATTGTAGGCCCTACTACCCATTGACAGGTCAATGGCCCCATGGGCTCAGGCCTTGGGCTTCAATTTTCGCAACCCATCCTACCCATTACTTAACGTTGGCAAGTGTCTAAAAAGTGTTGACTGTGTCTGAAATTAAGAATTTCATTTTTAAATTATGGACACATCCAAAAATGCTAAGTGAGGAAGTGTCCGAGACATGTCCCACATTATCCACTATGGACACAGCTCCTCTTTATAATTGTCCAATGCCCCTTGGACCCTAGAATTCCTCATTGCTGTGTTGTACTGTTGTGGTTATTTCTCTACCTTCACCAGATCATGTATATACATGGGATTTTTTGAATGCAAATTCAAGAATTTAACTTTCATGGGATCTATAATTAAATATTTTACTCTCCAGGTGATCATGAAATTGCTTCACTACACATGTTGGGTTTACATTACTGTTGCGGTGTTTCCCAGAAAATGCAAATTCTTATGTTATTCAATTGATGTGCACTTTTTTGTTGCAATCACTAAACTGCCATTCAGAATACACTATTATTGATAAAGTTAATTAAGCAACCCCAAATGAGACGGTATTCTGGTATTGAAAAGCAACAAACATACATAAATTGTCGGTGAATATATGCCACAATTCACCCAGCAGAAATCGTTGTTACATCTTTGACCCCGGGAAGTAACATTTGTTAATCAATAATCACCCTTCATCTTTTGATACACTGTTTCATTCATAATGATGCAGATTAAGGAAGTATTGGCTGAAAGGTGAGAAGGCAGGAACATTTGAAGTACTGGCTATTCTACCAGGATTTCCTGATAATGTCAGAACGAATGAAAAAGGTGAATTTTGGGTAGCAATCCACTGTCGCCGCTCTATGTACTCTTATCTAAGTTCCAAGTACCCGAAAATTCGGAAATTTATGCTTAAGCTTCCGATCCCGTCAAAATTCCAGTTCCTGCTCCACATTGGGGGCCAACCCCACGCTGTAGTTGTGAAATACAGCCCAGAGGGTAAGCTTTTGCAGATATTGGAAGACAGTGAAGGGAAGGTTGTTAAAGCAGTTAGTGAAGTGGAGGAGAAGGATGGGAAGCTGTGGATGGGGAGTGTTTTGATGCCTTTTGTTGCAGTTTACCAATTGGGCTGAGGTTAACGAACCCTTTTTTTTTAATGATTAAATGTTACTATTGGAGGAATGTTCTTCCATATCTGGGACTTTAATATTATAGTTCTTTATAGATGTTAACTTGTCTGTTCCTATCTGGGATTTACCAGTTCTATGGCCACAATGTTGTTGATGTTTTGATTGTGTAATGTCAACCTCGACTTCACAATGGGGCTCTAGCCTAAATGGTATAATCTCTTCTTTCCTTAGGCCACTTTTTGGGAGGTTATGTGTACGAGACCTGACAAGGGCAAAAAAAATATATAATGTGTATGTGTTTTTGAAAGAAAAAAAAAAAAAAAATAGGATGCGACTTGCCCTGAGGTACCCCTAGATTACCAATCTTTGTTGTTGAGCCTGTTGACCGTATGAGTATTTTTGGTTTTTTACAATAAAATGGAAGTGGCTTGTGGGAGATCAAAACAGGTGCCTCGTGTTCAGGAGCAAGCACTCCATCCACCAGCTACAATTCATTTCGTTTAAAAAACACTCTAGTAAATATATTTATACCTTGTTATTATTAGTGTAACAACTCAAAACTAATACTTTTTAAACAAAAAAATTTCGACATGGCCTCCCCTAAAAATAGGCCTATCACAACCTGATTAATTACATTTTTAATCTGTCATGACTCAAATTTTGAATTCACGGCAACAAAAGATAATGATACAATCAACTAACCTAGACAATGCTTCAAACTAGGATTATCCATCCATTCATCAACATATTGCATAGTATCAAATCCCCATCCAAAACATCATCAATACTTTAGTTATATTACATGACAAAGTTCCACAAAATAATTATACATCTTTGCACTTCTAGTGTTTTACAAAATAATGGGGAATATAGAAAGATACAAAAGTGGACTTCTAACGCCGTTCAAGCTTGAGGTGGGTTGTCATTCACCAGTTCCTTTCCAAGACCTGAAAAAAAAAATATATATATAGATATAGGGGTGAGCATATAGCTCAGCAGGTGACACTTAAGACACAATTCTTGTGTCCTAGTGAATCCAAATAAATCATAGGCCAATGGGAGATTGGGGACATGCATTGAAGGGGAAAAATAATTACAAGTACAAGTCAAATTCAATCATACACAAATGCAAATGGAGTGAGATGCAATGCATGCTAAAGTCACTCCCCGTTTTCATTCTCAAAACCATCACGTTCAAAGTTAATGTAACCCCCTTTGGTAACCCCGCCGCGACGAGAGGAGGATTGGCTACCGTCCCTAGGCCCTTGGTGACCTCGTGGCGCCGTCGAGGGGCCCGAATAGCTCAACCACGCTAGGGTACTCTCCCTAGTCCTCCCTAGGCTACATTAACCTTCGGCCCGTTGGTAATCCCGCAGCGACCAGGTTTGTCAAAACCAATTTTTTTTTTTTTTTCAAAATATTCATTCCCAAATCCCCATTTTCATTTCAAGACAACCACTTCCCTTTTTCATGCAACCCAATGAGATGTAGGCTCATGTCATGATCTCAATATAATGACAAATGGGAACTTAGCACAATAATAAATAAGCATGTTCTCATGGCATCATTATAGCATGTTAGTAACCTAAAAAAAAAAAAAAAATGTAAACAACCATCACATAGACATACTTTTCATTCAACCATGTTATACACATTTACATAACTAGCATGTTGTCAATTAAATCATTTTAATCAAAATCAACAACAATTAAACATGCTATAACACACATAGAGGAGCATGATTCATTATAGAGCAAGATTCCATTGTTTAAGATGTCCCTACCTCACAATCCAAGCCGAAATCCCTAGAATAGGTCCTCCAAATTCAAGCTCCAAGGAAGACTCAAATCTGGAAATTGATAGTATGGATGCGTAGAGTTCGCTACAAGCTTCGTTTCGCTTTAAACGGTTCCTAAATCCGATGAAAGATGATTGAGTAATCAAACCTCAAAGTTTTTGTCTCCAAAATGAAAGAAAAAGAGAAGGAACCGAGAGGGAGAGAGAGCATACGGGAAAGAGAAAGAAAAGAAGATTTCTTGGCCAAATAAGTTAGTGGTGGGCCCCACTTGAAATTATTTTCCTTTTCTCTTTATTTTTTTGTCTCTAATTACACCACAAATACACAATTGCACCATACAAATGCTACATCACTACATAAATTAAAATGTAGGAAATGTAACTGGACCCAACCACAAACCCGGATGGTAAAGTGAAAAGACGAAAATGCCCTTGCATTAACGAATTTTCAGAAAATTCTAAAATGCTGAAAATTAGAATTATCACAATTAGGGTATAGTAAAAAAAAAAAAAAAAAAAAAAAAAAAAAAAAAAAAAAATCCCTGAATTATGTTTGAGTTTGAAAATAACTACTTTGAAGTATGTTTTGTGCATAAAACCTCCTAACTTGTCACATTTTGTTGCAAAATGTCTCCATGCCTAGACTATTTTTTATTAAATGACCATAATGCCATTTCTTTTTGAATTGTACTTAATATATTTTTTCTTATAGAAATAAATTACGAAAAAAATTCATACTAATTCGATGACATTTTCTCCATTAAATTTGCATAAATTTATTTTTATTTTTTTAATCAATTTATTAATTTTTCATGACTTTAATGTATAAAAAAGAAGGTATTTTTTTATGGCAAAAAAGTTTAAATTGAGTATAATAAATTTTTATCATAAATAGTAAATTTTTAATAATAAGTTAATAATTTTAGAAAATGGTAGTTACATTTTTTTTTTTCCCCCATTTGTATGACAAATTGATACTAATAATAAAATTAAGGTAAATGGTATAATTAATATTTAGATAAGAGAAAATATAATAAAAATAATTTAATAAGAAATAAAAAAATTAATGAGAAAGGGCAATATAGACTTTTGTGATGAATTTGTCTTTAATTGCAATAAATTAATAAATCAAAAGATAATGTGTAGTTGAGGGGTTATTTGTAAAAAGACAATAGTTGAAGATTTTACCCTTATTATTGTTATTTAGTTATTACTTACCTGATGTATTTGTACTATTAATTGAGAATGTTTGCATTGTATGATTTTTTGTCTAAAATTGTTAAAACATGTAAAGCATAGGAATTACACCAAACCATTGAAAGAATGACAAAAGAATTTTTCACTTTTTTCACATTGCATCTTTTATCTTACTTAATGATAGTTTTTATTTTTTTTTAATTTTTTTTTATTTATTCAAATAGAGATTTTTAATTTTTTTTTTTAATGTATTATAATACACAACAAAGTAACGGTAATATAAATGCACATATGTTCAAGAAGTATAATCTGCATGTTATAATTCATCATGTTAGAATTTATAAACAAGACACAATTTTTTGTTTTTCGTTAATTAAACTTAAATAAGTCACCACTTGTAATAAGCTTTACAAAATTCAATAAAAATTTACTAAAAACTCCTTTTTATTGAATTATGTTGTAATAATTAGTGAATCAGTACATTTTTTTAGACCTATGTAAGAAGGTAATAAAAAAGTAAAACCACAATCAATTTAATTAGGTTTCATCGATAAGCCAGCAAATCAGTACAAAACCATACACGTTTTTCGTTCTATATATTTTCTTTTCTCCGATCTATATATTTTCTTTTCAATGCAAAGGCAAAATTATTAAATCATTTTGTAATAGGATAGATTTGACCTTACAAACATAAATTTGTTGAAACACCGATAATCATTTTTCATAATTAATCTACGTGGCTTGAATTGCTTTTTGGATGACATCTATAGAAATTGTATGCGTGCAAATGTCTTCCTATATTTATAGGTATATGTCTGCTGTAGTGTTTTGGTGATCTCAAAATTCTTTTACTCACTAACACTTCGCTTTCACTTATACCCAACTACATTTTTTGGTCGTTTGTTATCTTATTTATAGGCTTCTTCCTCTCTGATGGAGAATTGGAATGAATTACCATGAATGGATCTAGACTCTAAACGTTCTACCTCCTAAAACTCTCTACAAAAATATTCTTAAATATTTACCAACTCTATAAAATTAGAATCTTAATGTTCTATCTTTTTAAAAAATAATAATAATAATAATAAAATCTCAATGTTATAAGATTCATCAACTCTGTCAACACTTAATAGTTTCCTAGTGTATAAGTTTCTAGAACCCAACAGACCGGCCCATACTTGCATGTCTCCTATGTGTCTTACTTGGGATTCAAATGGAAGAGAAATAGGCACATATGATTAAATATGCAGTATTCCCTAATAATTTAAGGTTTTAAGTTAGAAGGCAAGCACTCGATCTGTTACAGTTAGTATTAGAGACAGACCCATCCTTGATTTGGTGTTGTAGTAAACATCTTGCCTAGAGGTGTTCGATTATCCCAATCAAAGTAGGTGGGATGGCCGACGGTAACAAGATTCAAAAGAATGTTAGAGATGCCCCACATCAAACCCAATAGCGCCTGATTAGTTACACACAACCTCAAAGTTACACTTTCTAAAGATCACACAACTTTGTGAATAGCGCCCGACCTGCACAACCTCTTGAGAAATTGGCAAAAGAGGATATATATATATGAGTAGTGATATTCATACCGAACACTTGCAGTGAATTGCCTAATCGAATAATTTTTAATTGGCTATTTATACCAAATACAACTAAATTGAGGACTCCACTTTCTTATTTGTTACATAGTTGACCAATTAAAAGAGTAGGCCTAACCATTCACTGTAACTATTCGGTGTAAGAATTATTTTCTTTTATATATATATATATATATATTAAAAAAACCCCAATCCAAACGGTGGACTTCCTAAATATAGGAAGCTAAAAAATGTGAGGAAGTGACAAGTATTGAACCATACAACAAAAGAGGCCGATTTTGAGAAGAAAAAAAAAGAAAAGACAAAAAAGACAATCGTTTATAACTATTACTCTTGAGAGTAGGGGTGGCCACAAATTAGATCGGATTGGATTAGGCATCAATTTTAGTGTGATTCGTTTTTAACAAATTAGAAGAATTTGAATCCATCATTGATTCGTTAACCCACAGATTGAATCGGATCAAATCTGTCCATTGAAATTTGATTTTTTCTAAATAGTTCAATTTCATATCTGACTTACAAAACAGTGCAAATAGATGAAATCAATTTAAATGTATTTAACAAAGGATAATCAAATAGTAAACATAACACTAGAATGCCAAATAGTTGACCAGAAGTAGCAGTGAGGTGACAAAAAAAACAAAATAGTAACAGACCCCATATATCATAACAATCTCCAATTTGTCCATGAATCTCCTCAAACAGTAGTCGCATCTGCAAAAGTATAAATTTTTTATTAAATTAAGGTCGCGTGCGGTTTACAATCCTGTGGTATTGTGCATATAATCTCCATTATTTGTTTACCTTCCCTATAAGTTAAAAATGGTACGAATTAATACTTTTTGACCGTTGACCTTTATTAATCGGTAACGGAGCTACAAAGGGACTAAAAAAGCCCTCCATCTATGATTTAAAAAAAATAATGAAATCTCTTTTTCTTAGGAATTGTCTCTTGTAAAGCTGTTCACAAATTGATGGATGTAGTCTTCTTCTTCTTCTTCTTCTCCTTTTTTTTTTTTTTTTTTTTGCGCGGATTCTTTTCGATGGTGGGAGATAGCTGCCCGGCCGACAACCGATCTCCCTTCCAGTCATCCCTACCCTTATCTCCTTTGCGTTGGTGGCACGCCCCATTCAACGAACAACACTGGCTTCCCCTTCTCGACCAGCAGTCCTGGTCCGTTCCCCCTCCCCCATGCTTCGTTCTGTTGCTCCTCTCTTTGATTCTTTTTAGTTTATTGTTTACGGTGGAATTTTCTTGCTGGTTGTTTATCGTTTCCTTTAATCCCGCGTGAAGGTGGTTTGCACTCTTTAGCTCCTTTGTTTCCTCCACTTGGACCTATCCTTACCTTCTTCCATAGTTCTGTTTATGGCCCTTCAGAGAGGCGAGTGACTGAGAGTGAGACGAGGGAGAGAGAGATTAGGGTTATACATATATATATATATATATATATATATATATATATATGGTGAGGGATGGTAAAATAATATAAGGGCAATTTTGAAAATAAATGGTTTAAAATGGTCATATCACTTGACCAACTAACGGTCATTTTTTTACCCAAATTTTGACAGGAGGTGCTTAGTTCTACATTTTCAAATCTAAGTATGAATTTATATAAACAAATAAAACTATAACGATGTAATTTGCATAAATTTAAAACTATGGAGAGCGTGTTTCAGACTTTAAGTCTTTAATCTTAAATTAATAATAATTCAAATAAGACAATTAATTAGTTAATTACAAATGTTTATGGTGCAGTACCTCCAAAAGTTTCTATATAATATTATTATTGTTTATTTAATCTATTGTCGTAAGATCCGCCAATCTAATAACAACTCCAAAAGATAATTGTATATAATATTATTATATAATACTAATATATACTTATGTTTTAGGGTGAATTGCATTCCTCTTCTGTTTTAGGGTGAATTTCACATGTTCAGAAACTGATTAATGAATTATTTTTTGTTTTAAAATATCTTAACCACCATTTATATTCAAAATTTAACTTTTATTTTTATTATTTAATTCCTTTATTTATTTTTATTATTTTTTTGGGTCCTATCAAAAGAGATAGTTTATCTACCGGATATAATAATAATTATTATTATTATTTTTTTCGAATCTTATTAAAATAGATAATTTATTCAACACACATAACCGTTTTTTGGAGTCTTGACAAAAGATAATTTATTCAACAAAGATGATTTTTTATTTTGTTTAATAGTGTCAAAACATATAGTTCATTCACAAGTGAAAATTTGTTTTTTGTTTTTTTTGGGCACATGTTTTTTAGTACTGTCAAAAGAGATAATTTATTCAACAGGTGTAACCCTTTTTTTTTTTTTTTAGGCACGTCCTGCCAAAGTTAGATAGATTATATATATATATTTACATATATATGTATATATATATATATTTGGGCCTGAACAAC